CAAATCAAAATCACATTTTCGCAAGAACTGCTCAACTTACAAATAATGTGTGCGTTGCATAAAATACAAATTGCATTAATATCTATAGCTATGGTTTCAAACGTTTTTCGATATGAAGATGGTTGTCTCTTGGTTTGTTGCGCAGTGTGGTCTGGTATGTTTTCCGACGTTTCAAAGGTGCTTGCTTTCGCCATCTGGGCGATAAGTAAGCCGCACGCGCCTTGCTCATTTATCTCGGTTTTCGAAAGTGGATAGCAGTTCTAGTCGTGAAGTCGTCCATAGTCAGATGAGTTTTCAATTACTGGCAGGATCGTTATAATTTTCCTAGAATTCTGGCGTCACCCACACACCAAGTTGTTTTGCCAATTACAATACGTATCTCGGCCATTCAAAACAACGGGTATATAGAATTGAGCATCATAACAATGAGCTTCGTTGCCCACGCCGACAAATCTCTGAAGTCGCTGTCACGTAGTTAACTTTGTCCGCTGGGTGCGCGCGCAGTGGCTCAATACACCGCTCGCCAGTATTGATTCGCCACACCCGGTCACATGGCGAATGGGATTCAAATGTCGCTCTACACTGTACATAACTTTTTTAAACTAGAAAATCATGTAAATTGTGTTTAAAATTGGTTTTTACCGACGAGGAAAACCGCCACATCTCTGATTCAGAGGTCAGTTGGTTATTGAGGTAAAAAGTCGCTGATTAGTTTGATAATCAAAATATCAAAAAATTATATGAAATGGGCGCAACAACCAGCTGTTGAACGTTAAAGCAGTTGGCAGTACTTACCACCTTATACTGGGGATACTGGGAACGACCCGTTTTTCAAGTGCCTGAGCACTGCGGGACCCAACTATTCGTTGGCTTGATCTATGGACATTCTGTAGGACTCCTTGGATGAGGGATCGGCCCGTCGCAAGGCCTCTACCTGTACACAGGACAGCACAACACAGAAAAACGCGGACAAACATCCATGGCTTGAGTGGGATTCGAACCCACGGTCCCAGCGACCAAGCGGCACAGGGCCCACGCCTCAGACCGCGCGGCCACTGCGGACCCCACTTACCACCTTATGAGGAAATAAAAGACTGAAGGAAGAAATAAATTTGGTATTGAGGGTGGTGAATAAAATACAAAGATGCCTCGGATGGCAGTATTTTCTGTCCAAGGTTGATTTAAACTTTACTAGGTAGAACACACAGACACGTTGGTGTAACACTGTTTCGTAAAGAATAATAATTTCTTACCAGTTCTTAATCCAAATACGATGTTTGATTTATGACAAAGTGCCTGCAGAAATGTATGCTGCACCCGCCAATTTTTTTTCTCCCCATGTTAGCCCACAGGCAATGTAAGTTAACGTCATTACCACAGCTTGTACCTTTCAAGTTGTGTTTTTCGAAAATGGCATCTGTTCTGCTTGACAGTTGTAACATCTTTTGATTGTTGTAGAGTCTACATTTACTGTTCGCTTGTGTCTGCTTTCATGTCATGTGCGCTCGTGGTCGAGGATTAGTGTAATTTATTAATGAGCACTGTTGCTGTTGTAGGAAATATTTTATGGAACAAGGACTCATATTCGTTTTGGAAGCTGTCTTCATTGTCATGTAAATTACCTTGATGGCAAGTGCAGGTAATTGAATCATACTCTAAAATGTAGGATTTGAGGTTTTCACGGCGGTGAGTCTAAAAATGGCTGTCTTCTGAGTTGTAGTGTCGTGTAGTCTGACAGAATACAGACGTTTCAGAGGTCCTTGCTGCCTCCATCATATGGCTATCATCATTACAACACTGCAGTCTAGAAGACAGCCATCTTCACAAAAAACGTGGTCTACTTTAGCCGATCTCGGTGTCGATATAAAAAAGCCTAAACCCGGCATTTCCAAAATACGAAGCAGGAGTGGCAGCCACTCAACAGAGGCGTTTCTTGAGCTCTGAAACGTCGGTAAACTTCTACCAGACTACACGGCGCTACAGCCCAGAAGACAGCTATCTTCGTACCTTAAAATAATGGCAAAGTTCTGAGCTTCAAGGTGTGAAGGGTATGTCGGGAAGGAATGTAAATTGGGCGTGAAACTTAGAGTCCACTTTGTACAGCCCACGTAGTGTAACTTAGTATACTGGAATAGGTTAGAACTCGGATGCAAAATTTCAGTATTGCTATTTGTCCCGTCGTTACGTGCCAGAGAGGTTCATGTATGGTAGTTCGGGGTTGCGTTTCAAATGAAACCTTTTGTATTTCGTTGGGGTCTAAATATTTGACATTTCGAAAATTGTTTCAAGTAAAATTTGTAAATCATAATGACACCTATATTTTATGTCATGTTCTAATTGTTTGCGACGAGCCAGTATGAACACATTTATGTTTGGCAACTACTTAGGTATCTCTACTCCCATCCATAACAAATTGTAATCGAAATTCCTGCAGTGTGTTTGAATATGAAACGTATATTCGCTTTGCGCACTAGTGCGAAAGATACAAAACAGTTTCTTCTCGAATATTCGAGTCATGATGTAATTTTCAGCTCACCAGACAGATGACAGCGTTGGTTGCTATAGTTTGTAGATAACAGAGCTGTAAAAGCATCGAAGTAAATTCATTAATGTAAAATGAGCAGTAAAAATTAATATTCGAAAAATCACTGTTGTGCTGTGTATTAAGGATGGCATTTACTTTCGAAATGTAGTGTGGGCAATAATTTTGGCGGGAATTTTTTTTCAGTTGAAATTATAATTTCGGCAGTGACTCCGAAACTTTGATTCCACAGACTTCTAAGTGCGACGTCTTCCTTTAAAAGCCGATAAAGAATTCACGCGAAGATTCATTACCGTGTCAACAAAAACCTTCCTTACAAGTCCGTTCCTAGCCGGTTTAATCCACTCCGCGCCGTCTTACCTTATTTTTGTGCGATTGATTTTGATATTGTCTACCAACCTAAGCTAAATATCCGACCTGGTCTCTTCGAGGTTTTAAGTTTCGTCATGGCATTTCCGCTGGTAAGGAAACCCTCTGTCACTGATCATTCATTATTGATGGTGTCTGGTTGGGCAATGGGGTGAAGTGACGTCGATAAAACACAAACTCCCTTCCTCTTGGCCGGCAATCACGAAGTCCCAGTAAGCGTTTCGTACGGTGCATTTCCTGTAGCAGAACAACAGGCAGTCAAGTAATCAAATGAAGTAACAGAGTACGCGTACATAGATAGCCTACAGATTAAGGGTTTTAGAGTCATTACTATACATTTATTTATGGATGTTTTGCGATCCTTGTAGTGCGCTACATAATGTGCCGTTCCACATTCGCCTAAAAATTCCTTCCACTTTTGGGGTTTATTCTTTCACATCGCGCAGGTCCGAGTTATGCAGGCTTTTGTTGTAAAGTCGTGTGTGTGGGTCCTGGGACAATGAGTGTATAGTAAGGACCAGATTACTTGCGTGTTCTTGGCGCGGGGGTGAAGAGCAAGGTGATAAGCACTGCGCGCGCACTCCACGCTTTTTCTACTCGTTCTACCCGGCCGTTCCGTGCACCGACCAGGCCGTGCCGAATGCAACTATCCACAGCAATAGGGAGCTCAGCAAGTAATCTGGTCCGTACTGTAGTTCCATGAATTGAAAATTCTGGGTGCTCTGTTCGTGAAATGGAGCAAAAATTAAATCAATTGTTTATAGATTTATTACGTCAAGATGTTTCCGAAGTATAGTTATGTACGAAAATAAGTAAAAAGTGGGTGAGATCTCAGCTTCTTACGGCAGCGAGTATACAGATGATTGTCTTCTGGGATGTTGCAGTGACTCACCATTCTGATGACGGAGGCAGTAAGCACCTGTGAAACGTCGGCAAGCTTCTGCCATACTACACGGCACAACTTCCCAGAAAAGTTAAATTCAAATGAGAAACTGAACTATTCGCTCTTCTATATCTGTTTATAAAAATTGGAATTGTTTTGTGATTTAACCATATCCATACTTCGCACGAGATACCAGATAAACTCCTCTGGTCTGGATTTATTTGTTGTTTGGAGACTTTCCCCCGAATCTATAAGCAGGTAAAGTTTACCAATAAAATGGAAATATACGATTCCATGGAAACTGAATCCCAACAAAAGTATGTTTCTTTAAAATACAACATTATAAAGTGAGATTAAAAATGGTAATGTCCTAGAAGACGATGATGCCATTCTTCTGGTTAGACTTGTCGGTAGCTGAGAACGTTTCGGAGACCCATACTATCTCCATCTTCAAGGTTGAAGTTCCGAAACGTTCGAATTTACCGACGGCACCGAACCCCGGAGGAACAGTATCGTCAACAATGGAAAGGTGTACTCCAGGCTGGATGAGCAGCTTGTTCTCGAAATGTGATGTTGAGATTTTACATATATCGTTGCATTCATTATTAATTTATTCTGGCGTGCATCGTAAAACAGAACAATTAAAATGTATTTAGGACTATTTTTGATGTTACCAGACCGTACTGTTAGGTCTGTCGCTTAGTCTGTCGGCTTGAAAAATGTTCTTTATAGGTAGCATGTACTCAGTGGCGGCTCGCGCCTTGTAGTTTTGGTGGGTCACCGCTACAGCGAAGTGCAAAATAAAATTGTCAAATATTTGAATTAATATGCAAGTGTTGTATTGCTCCGGGGGCCTAATTGAGGAGCTGCCTCTGCCTGTAGGCCTACTCTTCGGTTGCTACAACTTCACGCCATTCACCATGACTTTGTATTATATTTAAGCCTTTGGTAAATGTCAGATACAATAAAATACATTACCAGAATCATTATTATTGAAATTCGTAACTGTGCTGTCTTCAACACAATAAAGACAAGTTGACTCCAGGGGTAACGTGTTGTTAGAAAGATGTTTACAGTGTCTGAAGTCGGGAAGTATTTTACTTCTATTTCGTTAATATTCAGTATAAAGGAAAATATTTGTGATAAATATCATGGGCTTCAATCATATCTAAGTATATATTTCATGAAAATGATTTCTCTTCACAGTTTCTTGGATGATCTGGACCGTCTAGGAGCCAAGGACTACCAGCCAACAGAGCAAGACATCTTGCGGACAAGAGTCAAGACAACAGGAATTGTCGAAGTTCATTTTTCATTCAAAAACCTAAATTTCAAGTAAGTATTGTAGAATTTCGTTGTAACCTTGGCCACTCCAAAATCGCGGTAATGCAGGGATATCCAAACTCGATTACTTTAGGCGACATTTAAGAGGAATACGGAACAATTCTGCACCGTGCAATTTCTCTTACGAACTAAGCAAAATTTATCCAACTTTACGGACCAATTATAATGGAAGCATTAATGTTAGTTTTCTATTACGTAACAGTGAACACCGCGAAGTGGGCCTACCGTTGAAGGGAGGGAACGCTGATCTTCACTTTCCGTTCTTCGAGGAAAATTTAGAATTGCTTTCGTTATGTGGTATTGTAATTATACATCTGCACATAAATTAATGAGATTTGGGGGTGATTTTTTAATGTTAGTGTGACGTATTCGCCATTTTGTTTTGTACACCATTGCAGATGAGAAGAAATCAAATATGTAATCTTCCTAGGGACTTGCATTATTAATCTTAAATGACAGCGTCCTTTTGTGTTTATTAAGTAAAAGGGTTTTTAACATAGTCAACACAAGTGAATTTTTTTAAATTGCAGTAATAAAATTTTTATACTATGTGTTTCGGCAAAGTTGCCATCATGCGGTGTGTAAATATGTTGACCGTCATGAACATATCCTAAATTGAACTGCCCATTCATTGCATGTTTATGATGTTGAACATATTTACATTATGACGGCAACTTTGCCGAAACGTAGTGTAAACATTTTATTACTGCAATTGAAATAAGAATGTTTGTCAGTTGTGTTGACGGAAATTGTCTGGTATCAGAGATTGTGATCTGGCTGTGGGGAAATATCGATACATGCACGTACCTAACCTAACAATGGGACGAGTTGGCGAGGGAGTGACCGTAGCGCCGTAGTGCTTATTGTCACGTGGTGATGGCTAAAGCAGTAACGACCATTCATCACTCTTCAGATATGTGGGCTGGGGG